AAATAAATAAATAAATAAATAAATAAATAAATAATTGTTTGAAGAATACACTTTTTTTTACCATTAAATTAAATAGTAAGCATGTGCTCAAATTCTGTAAATGGTGTACTGACTTGGATAGGAAACTCTCTTGTTTTCAAAAAAGTGTTAGTCTGTATCCATTTTAACCAATTTAATTCAACTGATAATTTGAATTTCAACTTTAGATAATGGAATAAAATTTACCTATTATACAATATGGTCTTTTTTCTTTTCAGCCCATATATTGTTTTATTATTTTAAAAAATAGAGATGAACTGGTATAAGAGTGAGAGGACATTTATTTGGCATTAAAAGATCCACATACGGCTTCCATGTCTTAAATATCTCTTGAGCAAATTGATTAGTATCTGTTTAAAAGGCTGCATTTTTTTAAAAAAATACTAATCTTCATAAAGGTTTGTAACTTACATTAATATTTCCTAATTTTACCCAATGCCTTTTATGGCTTAGTAAAGAAATGTGTTTAAGTTGAAATTTGTTGATCCCGTCTTCATTAAGATATAAATAGAGCAAACCTCTTTTTATTTAAGGCTTTTTTTGAACCAAAACTGAAAAAAAATCACCTTTGTATTTCTATTCTTTTAATCATTTATTAAACAAATGAAAGGGAACAGAATGGAATAAAAATAGCAGTTTTGATAGAACAGACATATTAATAGCTGTAGTCTTATCCTAAACGAGTAAATTCTTTATCACCTGCAAATAAATTAACACATTTTAAAAGGTTTTGGATATATAAAAATATATTGTTTCCAATTATTAGGGAGTGAAAAACTATTTTTTAGATTTTCATGTACCTTAAGAAACTGCGGTATTAGAAACTCTGCTTTATAAAATTCTGTTATAAAACCATCTGGTGCAGGGGCTTGACTTTTCTCAAAGAAGAAAGTTTGCCAATTCATATTCTGTAACAGGAGCAATTGACAATGCTCTATCCTCATCAATCAACTCTGGAAATTTGAAATGAGATACAGGATTATAAATTTTCAATATGTCTAAATTATTTGATCTATGTAAAGGAGACTAAAGGGCCCATTCTTTTCTTGAATAGGGATCTCTACCCTGGCAAAAACTCCAGAGAAAGCTAACGAATATATGAAGCCATTGCTCGCTTTTGCTGCTGCCTATGTGCCCAAGGTCAAGCACAAGGAGACGCCACTCTACATTATGTGTACTGCAGGCATGAGGCTGTTGCCTGACAAGTGGGTGATCAACAGCTTTCTTAGACTTGAACCAAACTGGTTTGGGGCTTAGAAGCAAGAAGTATTGGGCTATTAGAAACCAGAGCGGGGAGTGGAAAGGGAAAGATTTCTCAAAGCACAGGAGTCTCGTATAACAACATTTCAGTAGGATTTTAGCTATTCTTTCTTCTGCTGGATGGATATTTTAAAGACAACATGATTTCCCAATTTTGTGTACTGTAAAGCAACTCTGTTTTCTTCATTTAACTATAGTCAATGGAACTCCATTTCCACCCCTACCCCCAACCCAACTTCCCTGTAGCTATGTGTGAAAGCTTAACTGTTTGCAAATTCGTAACTGAAAAGAGTCCCAACAGGAAAATATTGGATTCCTGCACCAAGGAGTAAAGAGACAGGTTTTCAAATTGGGGGAGAGCCTGCTATGCTCCCTGGGAAGGTAAATAGAGCAGGGCGGGTGAATATATGGCAGGGAGATATTCCTCATTTCCATATGGATCTTTGCAGGCAGCAAGAGGCCATCCTGGAGGACTTGGTGAGGGACATCCCCTTGGAATTTGATTTCCTCTTCTCGGAATCTCAGGCAGAAGTGATTTCAGGGAAACAAGAAGGTGCGGATCTGAGTTTAGTTTCTTCATGTTTCAGAGTGATTCGTCATAAAGGACAGATTGAAGGTGTACATAGTGAAATCATATTTGGGTGGAATTTTTTGAGTGGGTGGATTTGGTCTTGGCTAACTGCTTTCTGGCCTAATGTGAACTGTTCTGTGACTTGCATTGTGTTGGGGCTTGTGGATAGTTGCAGTCAGTATGCTGCTCCACCTACTGTTGATGTACCTGCCCCTACGAGGGGGGGGTCCCTTTTTTTTAAGCCTTAAATGTTGTTTAAGCCTTACAGAAAAGCTTCTCTGCCTCTTCAGTGGGCCTAATGTTGCATTTTGTGTTCTTTCCCTACCAGGTGTCTATGCTTGGATAGGCATCAACTTTGTCCTAGGGAGATTTGATCACGAGGAAGGTAAGGCTCAGAGAAAGGTCTGTTGGAATACGGGGCCCATGAAGTGGATAGTTGTTTTCTTATTGATGCATGAAGCAAGGAATGTCCTATGCAGTTCTTCATTCCCAGCAGGAGCAAGGAATTGGCTGTCTCATCTCATTTATTCCCTTCTGTCTCCTCAATTGAGCAGGAACAGAAATAAAGTGAAAGAGGCATAAGCTCCTTTTCCCTTTCCCTTTCCCTTTCCTTTTCCCTGTTTTCCTTTTTTCTACTACAATTAGTAATTCATTCTCTCTCTCTTCTCTTTCTATCTGTGCTACAGAGGAAGATGCGCTGATTTCTGTGACCTTGTCAAGTCAGGAAGAGCCCCTGGTCCGAAAAAGGACAGTTGGGATCCTCGACATGGGAGGCGCTTCCCTGCAGATAGCCTATGAGGTGCCTAGCTCGACCTTCTTTTCTTCTCCACAGCAGGTATGTCTGTTGAATAGGGAGGTATCTGGGGGGCTGGGCTGGGTTTAGCTTTTTATCATTTTACCACTTTTCTCTCCCTTCCAGGAGGAAACTGCCAAAAGTTTGCTTGCTGACTTCAACTTAGGATGTGACGTGCAACACACAAAACATGTGTATCGGGTCTATGTCAATACTTTCTTGGGCTTTGGAGGGAACTTTGCCCGGCAACGCTATGAAGAACTGGTGCTGAATCAGACCATCACTCACAACAGGTGCCCTGCCCTTGTGTTGCTGAGCCAGAAATGACTTTCCAAGGCAATTCTAGGTCATAAGGTCTCCTAGGGCTAGCAGTTCCTGTTTCTGTTCCCCGCACCAAGGAGAGCCCAAAATGGGGTTGAGGAACTACTTACAGAAGTAAGGTGTTAATGAAAATAAGGTGGAAATTGCCTAGAATCCAATTACAGTGGTACCTCGGTTCACGCACTTAATTCGTTCCGCGACTCTGGTCGTGACCTGAATTGGTC